GAATCTTAGAAGAAGAGAAAATATGTCGTCCTGAATTGTGGGCCCGACATGTAAAGTCTCGTTGAGAGAAATTCCGGTGCTGGTCTTCGCTGATCCATCGAAGACAACACGGACTTTCGTCGTCAAGCTGCTTTCCTTGATCACAGCATGATGTGGCAGATAATATCCGAAGCTGGATAAATCTGCTCCAGTCACTTCCGTGAGATGACCAAGATCTAAATATTCTTGAATGACTGCACGATATTGAGTGTTGAGGTCTGCGTTGCCATCCAGTCTTCTTTCCAGAGATTTGAGGCGGCGGAAAGCTCGTGATCGTGACTCGCCGATCAGAGATTCCTTCCCGTTGAACGGCAAAGCAACAATGTATCTACCAGTGTTGTCGCGTTTGATATTCTTCAGGAAGTGTCGTTCGCAATCAGACTCAGTACTGGTTGAAGATGAAGTGGCGTCAGCTTCTTCAATCGCCCAAAACTTGGAGAGATCGAAGTCAAGGTTGGAGGTGCTGATAACGTTGCATACGCGTCGACGTATTGTCTGCATTGTTGGCGCGCTCCCTCCGATTACCCAGCCGAGCAAAGTCTGTTGAAGATATAATTCTGGTTGATCTGCTGGCGTGAGCTTTTCCTTGCCTTGGCAGAGGAGTGAAAGTGTTGGTCCAGATCCAAGGAGCATGTTCACTGATGCTGGATGATGGAAGTTAGGATCAGCAAGCTTGATGTTGGCAGGTATCCTGATGGCGCTACGATCAAGGGGTTGATCAGGTACAGCCTGAGTGATGTTGGGGATCGTCAAGAAGTTGAGTGTCCTTTCATACTCAGTTGTTCGTGAGCGAATTGTGGCGATGACTAAATACCTGGTGGTGGTATTCGCGTCATTCAATGCTCCTATTGATACAGCGAATGGTTGAAGCGGTAGGTTGAGGGCGATGGCTAAACTCTCTTTGATGAAATTGGTGGTGGATCCGGTGTCCAGTAGCACTCGACATTCGACAGGTTGTCTGTAAGT